TATGGCGCCAAATCTCCGCCAAAATTCATGTTCCTATTTTCAACATTAATGTTTGTATTTTCAACACCAATGTTTGTATTTTCAACATCAATGTTCGCATTTTCAACATCTTTCTGCGCATTTTCAAAGTCAATGTTCGCATTTTCAAGTTTCAACATCAACGTTTGTGTATTTTCATTACTAACTTGAATTTTGGCGGATAGCATGGCGTCAAATCTCCGCCAAAATTCATGTTCGCATTTTCAACATCAATGTTTGCATTTTCAACATCAACGTCGTTTGTATTTTCAACATCATTTTTCGCATTTTCAACATCAATGTTTGTATTTTCAACATCAATGTTCACATTTTCAACGTCAATGTTCGCATTTTCACAACATTGTTTGCATTCTCAATTAATTTAAAAATAGGTACGCGCTGCGTACATGTGGGTAGCCTGCATTGTTTGCTAATCGCACTATTGTCAAATTCTGAATTTACTGAAAGAAAGTATTACGTAAAATGGACACAGTTGAAATATCGCACACATTTAATCACATACAATGATCAGATATGACAAAAATACGTAAACGACTGTTCATTTTCCAATAATTTATAAGCATAAACAGATCTAAGTCATGAAGTTACAAAGTATATTAATGTGTCCGCAAAAATAATTTGCACACACTAAACAGTGCAAGGTCTTATATGTATACGAAACAAAATACTTCACAATCACAAGAAGAGTTCTTGTTCAAGGACCACTGGAAAAAATTTTGAAAATCCATAGAAGGTCATAGAGTGGAAATTGTATGGACCTTTATTGGAAATAGAATGGATTTTGGTTATCCATAATAATTGCATATTTCCATAGTATGGATATAGTATGGAAGTAGTATGGATATACTATGGATTTTGTGGTGCAATTGCAAATTTCGTAGTATGGGTTTCCCTTTTTTTCCCAGCGGACAGCATACATCAAAGGCTTATACGTTTACAGGCTACGTATACAATTTTCGTGAAGTTTGAATTTCAAATAGTACATGCAAAGATCTACGGACGATGTTTTCCAACGCTGTTCGACGGAGTTGAAAAGGATCGACATATTCGTTATTCGATCCCATATGTATTGATGACATTCAACTTGCTTTTAATATTCGACAAATATATCCCAAATACTTCGTGCGCTAATATTCCACTGACCCTTGTGTAAACCGTGCTTGGCTTTCTATTTGCCTTAACTTACATATTCGACCAGCGCATTCGAAAAATATAATAAAATATATTATGCACTCATATAGTTACACATTCGACAAATATATTTCACAAATTATATTATTTGTGTATTTAAATTATATATATTTCATTTTTAGTGAATCAATGTCAATCTAGAATCTAGGGGTCTAAATAAAAGCCTTATGGTTTCTAGAAGCTCCCCCCCCCCCCCACTTCTTGTAAATACTTTATTTTTTAGATTTATTGATGTAATTTTTTTGGGGGCGAACAGTTAAATAAATAAATAAATAAAAAACGTACAAACATTATGCGGTAACGACATACTCAATTCTCTGCTCGATTCTATATATATTGCAATAGTTTCGTGCGTTTAAATGTGGCATTCCTTCGATATAATCTATAGACTAACTTGGTTTTCATTTTTCCATCGATAATTACTATTTTTCTAAAATAATATTTGATCACAGTTAATATCTATTAACAGTGGTTTGATCAAACTGATATGTCGTGTTTAAATATGATATTACACGATATAAAACAGACCCCGTGCGCTATTATTAACCCCAATGACCCTTGTACAAGCTGTGATTATATAAACAACGACATGTTCGATTTTATATATGCGTTGGAAATGACTTTCAACCTGATAAAACATATTAAAATAAAGACTTTACTATAAATTACTGAGAATTTATACACATCTCTATATACGGTGTGAACATATATCTTGTGCATGATTTTTTTTTCTGTGTTGGTGTAATGTACTCAGGTGAATATGATGCTTGTGAAGTTACTCTGAGTGTATATCCACACCGGGCAAGCTTGAAAAATATGCCTGACCACGGTGGGAAACCGTGGTCAGGCATATTTTTCAAGCTTGCCCGGTGTGGATATACTCAGAGTAACATCACAAGCATCATATTCACCTGAGTACATTACATTATGTACGTTATGCACGTGGTCTATAGACGGTTCGTATTTCAAGGATAAAAGGAACCGCGCAGCAGGACATCGCGGTATTGGGCTATTGAGTACATTTAATACCCGCAACACACTACCCCCACCCCGCCTGTCAAGGACCTTGATTTCCAAGGGGGCTAATCAGTCAATTTTTCCAGACGGGTAATGCTAATGGGAGAAAAATGCTGTTTCCAGATTGAACTTACGTCATATTTCGTTTGAAGAGAATTAGCATATTATTTTTGTTCTCTCAGGATTGAAACATTTATAATGAATTATTGATAAAGAATTATTGATCAAGACAAACAGCTTAACTCTATGTTGAGCTTTCCTTTGCAAAGTATTTAGTCTTTCTGCAAGTTGGAGCAGAGTTGTTCGAGCAGAACCTAATTCATTTGGAATAGGATTCATATTGATTTCACAGTCGAGAATGAAAATGCGAACATTGACGTTAAAATGCGAACATTGATGTTGAAAATATACAAACATTGATGTTGAAAATGCGAACATTGATGTTAAAAATACAAACATTGATGTTGAAAATGCGAACATTGATGTTGAAAATACAAACATTGATGTTGAAAATGCAAACATTAATTGATGTTGAAAATGCGAACATGAATTTTGGCGGAGATTTGACGCCATGCTATCCGTCAAAATTCAAGTTAGTAATGAAAATACACAAACGTTGATGTTGAAAATGCGAACATTGACGTTGATAATGCGAAGAAAGATGTTGAAAATGCGAACATTGATGTTGAAAATACAAACATTGATGTTGAAAATACAAACATTAATGTTGAAAATATACGAACATGAATTTTGGCGGAGATTTGACGCCATATTCTCCAGTCCGCCATGACCATCTTCTTAGCAAGTGCCCTAAAGAGAGACTGTCACCCCCCTGAAAACATATTGAAATTTAATGTTCCAGGGAAGTCAATGCCTCTCTTCAGGGCACTTGATGAGAACATGGCCGTCAGATATACGGAGTAAAAACTACCTTGCGTTTTTCACGCAAGTAAGACCTCATGTGTGGTTAGTAGTACTCTTAAGTGCTAGAATAGAAAACTAGCTCTATATAAATTGTCATATTTAGTTAATATAATATTAGGAGAATTGGCGCGTGAATTTTAATATTGGAGAGGTTCAGATTTTGACTGCCACTACCGCTAACATTAACCAATCAATGCGTTGATAACCTACACCCGATTCAGTGCTGCAAAATTACCGTCCAAAAAGGAATTAATTACAAATAAAATTACTTTCTTTAAAATGTAATTAATTACTGATCACAATTACTTCAGTTCAGGAAAGTAATTAATTACAGTAACAAAATTACCATTTAAAAATGTAATTAATTACAAATTACACATCATAATTTTGTATTAATGTTCGGAGTTCGCAAAGTGAAGAAAAACGATAAAAACAACTCAACGGTTATACACCCATCAATTATAATGTTTTGAATCTATTTCAAAAACTTTAAGTTATTTAAAAGCTTTGAGAGGAGGCATGCTTCAAAATGTTTGTCATTAAGACTGCTTCGGTGGGGCCTCAGTATCAGACCACTGGTGCTAAAATGACGCTCGCATGCTGCATGGAAGGTTGGGGGTGTGATGTAATATAAGTGGAAAGCACGGTTTTCTTCGGTTTACACAAAAGGCACTCGGACGAGAGGTTGTTGTTGCGTTTACAACAAACACTAAAAAATGTATTCAATTCGGGCCATGGAGATTCTTCTTTTCCCGCGTTGAAATCCTGCACAGCGGCAGATTGACTGCCTTCTAGGTCTTGAAGGTTTTCTGATTCTTCTCCACTTACAGCTGACTCTGGTTCACTGGGCCCGGCTGGCTCTATATTCTCTAAATCGACAAAGTCGTTGTCTACAACATGGTCTACCATATTAGCATTCGACGTTCAAGCGTTCATATTAGCATTTCGCAGTCGTTCAAGCATGGCAGCAATGCTTTTCACTATATCAATACACTACAGTCTACATGAAGTATTAGAGTTCAATTGAACAACTTCCACTGGCACTTTGAAGTTTGAATCAGTTATTGAAAATTTTCTGGATTTAACAAAAATGGAAAACAAAGTGTTTTTGAAAGCGTTTTTAAATTATTTGATCAAAGGAATTTGTAATTTTCATTCGTTAAAGCAAAAGGAACGCGTTCCTTTATTTTGTAATTAATTACAATAATTCGTTCCTTTTCAAAAATGTAATTAATTACAGGCCAAAATTACTGCAAACGTAACGAGTAGCCTGTAACGCGTTACAATTGTAACGAGTATTCACAGCACTGTACGTTTCTCGAAAATCTAGCGAAAATGGCCCTCATTACTCGCTGGGGCACCTGCGCCCAGGCTAGGTTGCAGCATGCATTTTTCATGGATCGGCAATAGTGGATCGTCGATAGCCACAAAATAGAATATTAATGAGCTGCCAATTTTTACCCAAATTATCCATAAGGCTCCTGCCAATTTTTACCCAAATTATCCATAAATACCCTACGTTTTGAGAAAGAGTGTACATGTACTTTATTTTGCAATTTATACATGTAACTGTATCTGTTTTGTATTGTATTTAATGCAATAAATCATTCGATAAAATTGATCTAATTTGATGTCATATGAGACAAACAATGAATGTTCTCATTAATGCATTGGTCAAACTATTTTCATTGAGTGAAAGTTGGAATTTTCCGTTCCATAGAAATTGTTATACTCACCTTTCGCATAAGCTGGGAAATAACTTTAATTTGTTGCCCTCTTGCCAACAGATAACTGAAAGGCACGCCCGTCACTCGAGACATTTCCATATAGTTAATCACACACATAAGTTTCTCCAATAACCGTAATGGCAATAAAGCATCCTTGAGACAGTAAACTGCTAATCGACGTCGAGTTTGTTCATTTCCATTCTGTTGGGAATATAAATTAAATGTATATAAGCCCGGAGCACTCATGTGGAAGGTTAATTAAAGGGTACAGGTTTCCCAAAGTTTGAATTATAGTGCCAGAGACCTTAAGTAGTATATTGGAAGTTGTTATTGGTGTAGTTGTATGTGTGATAAAAAATCATGTTAATTTACATAAAAATTAGCTTTTATTTTCTCGGCTTAGACAACGTTGATTTTTAAAATTACTTCGCCAATGAACTCATAAAATGGGACGTTTTTTAAGTACTATTTAAAAAACGAGCAGGAGTGTTTTATTAGGTTCGCGCGAGTGGCTTTAGACCTAATAAAACACGACATGCGAGTTTTTTAAATGGCTTCAAAAACGTTTGCATAATAAGTCAAATCTTTATATAAAAATCTTTATATAAAAATCTTTATGTAGTTTGCATAACAATGTTCTTTTGTTAAAGTGTTCTTTAGCTGGTATAAAGACGTAGGCACGTGACTGATTTCTTACTCAAGATTGGATAATTGCTTCATGAATTATTAATGAGTTTTTGAAATCACTTAAAACACTCACAGTCCGTGCTTTGTCAGATATAAAACATATTTATATCGGAAAAAGCACTCCTGTTCGTGTTTAAAACTCGACTATTGCCTCAATTGAAGAAGTGCGTTTGAGAAATAATATATAATAAACAAGAAAACATTTATTACCGACGTATGAAACACCTAAATGTATGTGAAAAAATCAACACACTTTCCGATGAGGGGGAATCTCCTTTAAAACTCCCCCCCCCCAGGCACGGGCTTTAGGACCAATTCAATTTGACAACAATATAGTATTCTATCTAAATAGTAGTTAAAATAAACTGTTAAATATCTTGCTTGACAGTACTTCTAAATCCATGAATACATTTACATATTATGCAAATACTTTATATTTTCAAAATCCGCCATATTTATTTACATTAGAACCGTTTGTGCAATATAAGGAACTTGGGGACACGTTTGTGCATGGCATGGTTTCCTCTTGCTTCTATAACGATGAAATAATTGGATCATCTTATACCCTCCTATTATTAGTGCAAATCACGGGCGTGAGCCACAAAAGCTAGCTGAGCTTGGGTTCTAATGTAAATAAATATGGCGGGTTTTGAAAATATACAGTATTTGCACAACATGTAAATGTACTTATGGATTGAAAAGCACTGTCAAGCAAGATATTGAACAGTTAAGGTGTGGTACACTTTATTTTAACTGCTATTTGGATAGAATACCATTGTTGACAAATTGAATTGGTCCTAAAGCCCGCGCCCCACGACAGGGAAAACGGGTGAATTTCGAGAAAACCTTCTTATTAAACTTACCTGTAAATCAGCAATAATTGAATGTGGTACATCCTCCTTTTGTTCTTGTAAGAAATGATAACTGACTGAATTCAAAGTATAGGATCTAAGTTTATAGTCTCTAAGCAAAATATGCAACAAGTCAAACTGAACGCGACCAGTGATATTAATAACCTTATTTTCACGTTTGCCATAGGCACGAGATTGAAATGTTGTGGTTGACACCGTGCTTTTATCTTCTTTGATCCGTCCAATGAATGGGAATTTTAATACCTTTAACGCAATTGCGCGGTTGAGTACGTACGGTAAATCAAAGTTAACGATGTTGTAACCAGTGATTACGTCAGGATCTGCTTCTTTCACGAAGTTGGACCACTCCTATAAGGTAACATAAATAGAGGATATTACAAGGCGGCGCGAAGATACGACTTTTATCTTCGAGAAGTCATATCTTCAAGTCGAGAAGATAAAAGTCATATCTTCAGACGAGAAGATAAAAGTCATATCTTCAAGCCACCGTGTAATGTTCTGTTTATTATATAGTCCCAAGCAAAAAATTGTATAAATACTAAAAGTTACGTGATCAATATCTTCATTAGTGAAGATATGAAAAATATGTCACTGTCAGTATCTCACTCTCTACTATATGTATAATAAATAATCAATACGTTTCCTAATACTTTGACAATTTACTTGTCAATAAAAATTAAGTTTGTCTCATCTGGTAGAACTTTTTAAATTATATAGAATACTCCTTCAACGATTTTTCATATCTTGCTTAGTTTTGGAAATACTTCGCCTGAACACAATGAGCCGTCCGGCACCTTGGATGAATCGTTTATGGTTTGGTGACGTAAAAAGCAGGGCTAGGCTAGGGCTAGGCTAGCCCTATACAAAACTACTTCTTTGTGACCAAACATAGCCTATCGAAGGGAAGATGGCTGTGTAAAATATAACTCATTATCTATGTTGGTCAACGTTTGTTCATAAATCTGGTCCTGAATTCATTTATTTTACTAATAATATAAATGAAAACATTTCTCGACTCTGATTGGCTAAGACAGGCTTGCAAATAAGTATTTTGCTTGGAAGGACAGATGTCCGATCAAGACAAAAATTGTTCGGACATTTATCAGTTTTTTTCGGACAATGAAGGAAGGAAAATTTTTCATGGTCTTTTTCATGTTAGCATGATGTATTTCAGCTGGTCATGTTGCTCTGTTCTGCAGTGCATCTAAAACTGAGTAGAAATCTGCAAGTCCTAATGTACTGCATTTTCAATAAATTATGGTTCAGGTTATACATAATTTTAATTTCTATCATGTTATAAGAAGACGATTTATATATTTGTAATTAAATCTTCCGGCTTAATGCAGCCAAGAAATAATGGAAGATTGTCGTTTATATTGCTTTGGTTTCATCAATGAAATTGACCATTTGACCAACCTAAATCGGTCGGCCACCTACAGTAAATCGGTCGGTAATTTGCAGGCCTGTAAGAGCACTGCAATGTTTTCGAAATACAGTGTCAGAAAATGAAATACAGTGTCAAAAAATGAAATAAAGTGCAAATTTCATTGACTATAAGATACAGCCATTTCTAGCAGAAAATAATACAAAAAACCCAAACATTTACAATTGGTAAAAATGGCTGGCGTTTTTAATAGAATTTCTATTAAAAGCTGACTCATCTTAAGTGTCAATAAATTTGTTGGCGTAATTTCTGATCCTGTTTATTAAAGCAAATGCTACAGTTTAGAACTTTAAAGATAATAAATAGCTTTAACAAAGATGTACATTGCATCACCTGAAGTAAATCCTTCTCGTTCTTATAAGATTTCACCTCGGATCCAATTATAGAAGCACATGTGTTGAGCGTAAAAACGTTTCTGATAAACGGATCTTTCTCACCCTGACGAATAACCATGTTAGAAATTTGAATAACACGGTCCTTTTCTGGCTCTGGGAAGATACCCTTGCGTCCAGCACATTCAATATCGAAACTCAGAATTCGAATTGGAGCAATCTTTTGCCACTCCCCTAAAAATATGATGAAAAATAAAGGATGCGGCCTAAAAAATATCCTGTTGGTCCGGTTTCATATCCTGTGAGTAGGACTCACCCTATGAGCTATTCTGCAATTTGATTGGCTCTCTACTAGCAGGATAATGGCTCGTGTCCTGCCAGTAGAAAAAAAACAAGATGGCGGCTAAAAATTACCGACGTTCTCTGAAGAGAAAACAGCAGGTTATTCGCTTTTTATAGCATTGTTTACAGCAAATAGTTTTTTAATACTTTAAAAAAACAATGTCGAAAAAGCGAAGATAAAAATATGAACAGAATATAAGTTCCAAAATAAACAAGGGCAATTTATAGATGTGAAATCAACAAGCACTTGTTTTGTCTGAAAGGCTTATAAATATATAAAAATCTTTAGTTTTTAGAAATGTTTGAAGTATTATTCAAAGAAATAGCATCAGTGGTTTATCAGGTTTAGGACAAGTTGTGTTGATTGCTTAACTAACTGCAGATTCTCTTACAAAGGGTGTATAAAAAATGTAATCCAACTTTGGCATGTTATATATTGTGCATCCATCTGCTTTTTTCATACCAATAAAGATAAGGCTTTTAGCTGTCAAATGCTACCTTAATTTCTTGTATCATTGTGATCTAAAATGGCCAAATACGACCCGATTTAAAAATACTGGTCTAAATCGCATTTTTCCACCGTTGGAAATTGCATGTAAAGCTATTGTCCGTATACTAAATTATTCTCATTTGGGATTTAAATTAAAGTCCCTTGAGTGAATATGGCGCAACGCATGTCTAAGCATCACGCTTTGATAAACTTTTACTCGCATTTTACATAGAAATTGAGAGGCTAAAACACTTTACAACACTGGAAGCTTGCGCACTGGACTCACAATGGCATACGTTTTCTAAATGGGCAACAAACATTTGGGCAGATGTTGGAAAATTGGAAGAATATTCACATCCCAACAGTGGAAAAATGTGAATTCAACTGAGCACTTTGGGTCAGATCGCATTTGGTCATTTTTTGTCGTAATCATTTCACAAAGGTGTCATTCGACAGCTAAAAGCCTGTTCTTTATAAATACGAAAAAGAAAACCTATTGACGTATTAGTTAACGCACGATACAGTAACATGTCAAAAGTTGGATTACCTTTTTTTATACACCCTGTATATGGAGGTAAGCAAGGATTTTTGGAGTCGTTAGCCAGTAACGTCACATAATGCCATCACATAATTTTTGGATGTAATAAATTATATGTAATTATATGATATGTAATTATAATAAATTATATGATTATAATAAATTATAATCAGTAATAAATTTACGTGGTGTTTCCACAAACAAAACTATTATTATAATTTTTGGAGTTGGTCAGAATACAAATTTCCGTGTCATATCCACTATAACATGTACAACGTGGTTACCTTCACAAGGGTGACTAATGAATTGATCCCAAGCGATATCCACCTCCAACTGACATCTTGATGTTTTCACATTGTCATTTCTTATTATGTATTTACCAGCAGGAAGTTCAATCCAGTTACAACCAACGACAGCAGTATCAACCATAAACCGAATCTACAAAATGGGTATAGGGAGCTTTGATTATATTGGTTTAATAGTTATCACTTATTTACTGAGACCGAGGGAAACAGTGTGTTTTGTGGACCTGAGAGCGTCGATCGCCTCGGGAAACATCGACGGTCGAGGGTCCACAAAACACACTGCTTTCCCGAGGTCTCAGTAAATAAGTGTTTTATTATATATAAAAAGTCAAAGAAACAACAAATTAAAGAACCAATGAACGTAATACATGAAATATTTGATTGTTAAAACGTTATATCACGTGATGGCGCACGTGATTTTTTTTGTTATTCGCCGGTCGATAACGTATTGTTTCCCTCTCGCGCTGTTGCGAGGGAGACAGCCTAATTTCGTCACTCTCACGTGATATGCTCTCAACCAATAAAACACTAGAAAAATGCGACTTTGACTATTGATATATAATAATAAAATTTATTGTCCACGAGGCATCAAGTCAGCAGCATCAAGCAAGGTACTCTCTTCTAAAAACTACAACCAATTGGTAAAATGTGGTTACGAATGCCAAATTCTTTCTAAACAGCAGTATTCTAGCGATTTATGAGCTTTGAAAGACAAGCGAAATTGTATTGCTGACAAATCGCTCAAAATTATTAAACTAATTAAAAATTCAGTACGTCGATAACTTGATCCTTGTTAACTTTCGTATCGTTGTTTTTTTCTCTTTTTTTTTCCGTGTATATACCAATGGATTTGTCTCACTTTTCGCTTCATTTTGATAGTATTTCAAGCCAAGAAATTGTATTTTGAAGGTTTTAAAGCGAATTTTTAACCCTAGCGTATGGACCAACTGCCGGGCGACATAAGGAATGTATATATAGCGTACTAAATATAAACTTTACTTGGAGTCCCAAAGTTTATTCGTAGGGCACCCCATTTTAGTACTGTGTCTGGTTTAAAACAAGTTTCGCAGGGCCTATAAAGCATGGAATTTAGCTAATGAACATTCGAGATGATCCTCTAGCAAGTCTAATTTTAAATTAAGTTAAAAAATTTAAGGATGCACTGGATCCGGTATCTGACAAAATACAGCAAGGTAAAATTTTGTCGAATATTTACCAGACAGTACTAGGACTTTTATCTAAATCCATAGTATATCCATACTATTTTTTCTGTGTTGGTGTTGTGTACTCAGGTGAATATGATATTTGTGATGTTACTCTGAGTGTACATCCACACCGGGCGTGCTTGAAAAATATGCCCGGCCACCGTGGGAATCGAACCTACGACCTTTGGAATACTAGCCCAATGTAGGGATGAGCCGATTAATCGGTAAATAATCGGCAAAGCCGATTAATCGGCCGTTTTTTAAATAATCGGTAATCGGCAAATAATCGGCCATAAGACATTTTCTGCAGCTGCCAAGCACATGCTAAAATACTGAATACAAGCGAATAGATTTTCACATTTTGTTGCAAAACCGGTGTCTTTTGTCTCAAGCGAAGTGAAAAACGCAGCAGACTACAATCCTGGACAAAACCATCTGCGACACTCTGTTAAAACATTCCTTTGTGGCTTTTTTTACCAGTTAGACCGGAATAATTTACTCGTTTGCCCCCCTCCACCCCCCAAAACAATGTTGGACGTTTTATCCGTATTCCATGAATGCATTCAACATTGAATGGTGGGGGAAAGGGGGAGGTTTTCTAAATTTACGATAATAGTACGACATTTTGTCAAGTAATTGGAAGTGTCGCAGATATTTTGTCCAGGATTGTCTGAAATGAGTCGAAACTATATTATTTTATATTTCGCTTTTTATACATGTCCTTGCAATGTATTTCGTTTAAGCGCATTGCTTATGACCTACTTATATTGATAGGTTATACATTCAGTCTATACATAAACGCCAATGCGTGTGATACAAGTAGAACTAAGGGACAATAAATTCAATATACTTACGATTCTGGCGTTTACTGCATATATTTAGAATATTAAGCTGACAACTATATATATAAATGTGAATTATGCATTTTGACACAAGTTTTCCAGGTGTGGTCAATCAATGCTCAATTTTTCAGTGTCACACCTAACGGTGTACCACAACCAATGCACTAAGACTGTGATAATTTTCCCAGTT